TAATCTAAACATTCGTGTGTTTTTTCATCACATTGTGAGGTAAATACATGTTATTTGTTTGTTTGTTTGTAATTAAGCACAAAGCTACGCAATGGGCTATCTGTGCTATGCCCACCACAGGTAGAATACCAGATCATTGTTTTGTATTTCATTCAACTGTTTTTCAATATAATCTAAACATTCATGTGTTTTTTCATCACATTGTGAGGTAAATACATGTTATTTGTTTGTTTGTTTGTAATTAAGCACAAAGCTACGCAATGGGCTATCTGTGCTATGCCCACCACAGGTATAATACACGTTAAATAAATGTAAATTTAACTTTATTGATTTTATCAATACATGCAAAATATTACCTTTATACTTAGAGATAAATGTCGTTTCTTTCCCAGATGACTTATGTAAACCTGTCAGTACGCCAGATCCATGCTGTTATATAGCATAGGAATAAATTATGTTATAATTCCAATTATTCCATAATAAAGATTGTCTCTCTACATGAACATTAGTTTCTTGTAATACAATAATTTCTGCATTATGACGCATAATATCATTTTTGACCACGCAGTTATTTATACCTGTAGTTTTTTTTTTTGTTTGAAGTTAAGCACAAAGCTACACAATGGGCTATCTGTGCTCTGCCCACCACGGGTATCGAAACCCGGATTCTAGCGTTCTAAGTCCGCAGACATACCGCTGTGCCACTGGGGAGCTATACCTGTAGAACAACCTCTAATGTTTTGTATAGCAATAACTGCCATAAAAAGAAGAAAGTGGAAAAAGGAAAACTTAGAATGTAAATTTAACACCAGTAATACATATATATCTTAGATTAAATCTTAGTAAATTTTCACTTAAACTTTCAGATAAATAATATAATATTTTCCTTTTATTTACACTATTCTGATCTTTTTTACTAGCAATATGTTCTCTGTTTCTCTATTTGGTGTACCGAATCCGTTATGTTGTCTGTGTATTTCAGAGCCACTTCTGATTTCTTAGACGATCCCTTAATTTTTTTTTCAAAATTTAAAAATCTTGATTTTGATAACGGGCTTTCAAAAATCTTATCGTCACTAACCATATCGAGATATTCTAAATCATCATTTTCCTTTAAATCATTACATAGACTTGTTTGATTATCATCATTATGTTCGGCCCGCTATGGCCAGGTAGTTAGGGGCGCTTGACTCGCAATCTGAGGAAATTTAGACAGATAAGACTGTAATTGATTGGAGGCTTCAATGAAATTGAAAAATCGTATTGTAAAATGTGAAATCCAGTATTAAATTTCAGTCTCAAAGTTGATCGATAAGTGAACATTCTTTCCTACCATATTAAGGAATCTCATTTTTTAAAATAAAATAACCAAGTTCGTTACTTATAACGGGAAACGAAAATAACACTAGCAACGTTTTATTGAAACCGCCCACATGGTGAAGCCCCCAGCGGCAAGTCTGCATGCTTACGACACTAAAAAAACCAAGTTTCGATACCATTGGTCGGCAGAGGACAGATAGCCTACTTTATAGCTTTGCACTTAACGACATCAAAACTAAATCATGTTGTGAAATGTTCCATTAGTTTCAGTTATTTATTTCAGTTAATGGTGTACACCGGCTAATTAGTATTTGTAGGCTTATCATAAAGTAACGTAAGCATAACGTATGTTAATAACCAAGTTTCTGACAAGTTCTGTTTCGATTCTCCGTAAAACTTCAATTTCCTGCACTCTCCCAAAGATTGCGGACACGACATTACTTGACTGTATCATTAAGTATTATACTATATTCTGTTATATTGAATACATAATAGTAAACTATTGAAAATTTTGAATACCAAGATTAGTAAATTCAGAATAATATAATACCACGCTAACAGCTGCACTACCGAAAATATACATAAGCAGGTTACAGAAACAAATCTCCTTAGAATAGAAATATTTTCACTCGTTCATTCTGTATATTGCAAATTTGGATGATACTAATAAGTTTTTGTTTGTCACGTATCACTGCACAGCTTTCCAAATCCGTTTTATGTTTATGGGTATAACAAAATGATACAAAAAAGAATTAGAAAACTGTCCTTAAGCTTTAGCAGTGCCGAATTTTCGTGAACCAAACGTGTTGAAACTTGATTTGTATGGAGGAATCTAAGTTTATTGTAGTGTGTTGAAGATTTAAGAAAAAACATGCTAAAGTAACTTTACATGAGGTATGCAGTATAATCATAAATTGAAGTGTTTCAGGTTGTATGTTTTACTGACTGGACTGTCTTGTGGGGATGGATCTAAAGTCGTTTTTTTTTCTCTCTCTTTATAAGCATTGACATCTTATAGTTTTTACAACTTATTCATATTCCATTGGCTGGTTAATTGAAAAACAATCTACAAGACCTAAAAAGTTCACTTAATGTAGAGGATTTAATGATCACAGTGTAATAACGTGAAAGTTAAAAGTGTAAACACTAATGATCTCATTAATCTCAGTTCAAGACAATTTAGCCAACAGTGCATCAGTAAGTAAGTCTTTCTTTTTTTTCTTTCTTGGCAAGGGTTAACCCTGTGGTAGGGCTCTGTGTTCTTCATACTGTAATTTACATGTATGTTATAAGAGGGACAATCAGTTCCTTAGCATGGATGGTAGGGTATTGTTGACTGGCTGCTTTCCATCTTGCCAATAGTTCAAAATTACAAATGGTAGGAAATCGCCTTAGTAGCTTTGCCATAAATGTTTTTACAAATTATTTGTTTCATTGTGGTTCAGGGCTATGCGTGGCCAATTGATTTGTGTACACAAACTGTGAATCTTAGGATTCATGATTCAAATTCCATTGCAGCAAAATCTTGCTCAACATTTTAGGATCATTGGTGTGTTGCAAAAGTGACTGTCAAATCCCACTATTTGGTTAGACAAGAATATCCCAAGAGTTGGCAGTGGGTGTTATTGAGTAACTGCCTGTTGTCTAGTCTGTCAGTTCAAAATTAGGGACAGCTAGGTGAAGATAGTACCTTTGCACAAAAGTTTTAAGAAACAATCTTGATGGCTTAGACCAATCTGATAATGGTGAGAGAGGCTAAAGTTGCTTATTCATGGACATTGTTGTTCACACTTTATCATAAAATTACACACCATGTAACTTATACAAACTGCTGAATAGATGGAAAACATCCATCATATAACTACAAAACACACATTAACTGCTAATTCAGCTTATAGAGCAGCTGTGGTCAGTGGGTTAGGTAACACACTGTTGTCCCACATAACAAACATATGTTTCATTAAAGAGCTTACAGTAAACAATTTCCATAACAAAGCTTGAAAGTTTACCATTGACACTTGTAATAGATTATTATGTTGACTGAAATTAAAATGTATGAAGTTTAAATGTACAAAAAAAGTAAGTGTGTATGTGGAAAATCATACCCATCACCAAAGATGTTTGTATCAAAAGTACGTGTGTATCCATGTTTGTGTAAAACAGAGGAAAAATAAGGTTCTATATGTAACATGGTTTCATACTAATTGTGACCACTTTTATGTTGTGAAATTTACGTTCATTCAGTACAGGATGAAACCTTTTAAATTGATATTTGTTTATTATCATTTCTACTTTCAAAACACCTTCACATTATTTATACTGTTTGTTTGTTTATGTATTAAAAAAGTGCTACAATGTATGTGAATATTGTGGCACTTTAAGATCTTCTCATATAGTTTTTTGTTTTCGTTAACAGATCATGTCAGTATTTCTAAGATAATCATGAGATACATGGAGAAGTTTCCTTCCTCTTCATCATTCATTGTGTATAGTTTTAAGCCACGTAAAAGAAAGTTTGAGGTTAAGTGTGTGAGTAAAACACTGTATAACTCGACAATACATGTATATCACCATCTTTTGTTTTCAATGTCATTAGAAAAAACTTTTTATAAAGATGTAATTTAGTTACCTATTATATTAAAAAGTAAAAAAAAAGTCTTTCTCCCTCTCTGTATACATGTGTATCAAGCATAGCCCAGTGGTTAGCATGCTGGTCTGTTGATCCAACATTCCATGGTTTGTGTCCCATTGCCACTGAAAAATAAATTGTACTTTTTACTTTGGATCCATGTTTGCATTATAAGGATGACAGTCAAATCCCGGTATTCACTGAGAGTAGCTTACGAGTTGGTGGTGGGTGTTGTTGACTAGATACCTTTCCTCTAATCTGCCACTTAATAATTAGTGCAGGTAGCACCCAAGTAGCTTTGCACAAATTTCAACAAACTGTATACATATAATTGAACTGAAATGTTTTTTCATATTTTTCTTTCACACCTTATGGAATTTTAGAAGTTATATTTTTTTCAAAATTTCAGTTTATATACAAAACCTTGAAAATGATTAATTCCTTTTAGAAACAATCATAAACAATTTTCTAGCAAGAAAATTTGGTGAGATAATACACATTTTAACATAACATATAACTTAATATTTAGGACAACATGGGACCTATTGGTCCATCTCGGCTGTTAAAGAAGTTATCACAATAAAATAATTGTAATGCATTATTAAACCATCAGTGTGTGCTAATCTGCATAAATCATTTTTAAAGTTCTACATTTGGATACCTTTGTCATAAATACAAATTGTTTCTTGGTGGTTCAGTGTCAGGAGTGACTGAGTGGTTAGTGTGCCTGAAAATGATGAATCTGAGAGTTCATGGTTCACATCCCATTGCCACTAAAACTCTCATCTTATCAACTGAAGTGAAACAACTATGTTTTCTAGTAAACATTGTTAAGAGATTCTGGCATGCTATACATAGGAATAAGCAAAAGAAATACAAATACAAAATTAACGATGTTTTGATGGATGTGTCTTAAGTCTTTTATCTATTAAGCTTCAGTAACTGGTGATATGATTAAATCTATAATATTTTGTATCATTTGTTTATTAATGAAAGTAAAAGTACTGTTCATATGGAGAAACATAGTTTTGCCATCTTCTCATTTTTGTAGGCTCACACACCACTCTTAGGTGGAGGTTGTGACAGAGATGTGAGTAAAAATATCTTCTTTCTATTGAACCTTTGGATTTTTGTGAAGTATTGATAAACTTAGTTTGTTCAAAATTGTTTCAGTATTGCAAAACTTTCAAAACAGTTATACATTTGTAAGATTATAGATGTATGTTATCGTGTTTATATAGTTTCTGTTCAGATTTTGTAACTATGAGTGCTAAATGTTAGGTTGTAAAACTTTCATATTCAATCAGTTATTTAAACTGGAATAGCCAAACATTTTTAGAGGTTGATTGTAAATACCAATTCCAGTAACAATGGATCTGACTGGATAACCGTCTTTATTTATCTTAGAGATTCCATATAATATAACCTGTTGTGTGTATGGTTTTGTAGACAGTTTAATCAATGATATCTTGTTTTTTAAGGTCTAGTAGGTTGTCTAGTCAGACCCATTATCTCTGTAATTGATAATTAAAATTAACTACTAGCAAAATATCTAGTGTGGGTCTTCATTTAAAAGTTTATTTGTAGGTTTTAAGGATCTGCTCAAAGAGGAAACTCAATCTTAAGTATAGAAATGTGGATCATTGGCAAATGGTACCAAAACCATTCTTCCATCAGATGTAGCTTTTAAAGTGGAAGCTTTGATTATTTTACTTTAAGTATACTGTTTTCTAATGTACGATTGTATATTGTTATGCTTATAAGCTTAACAAAAATAATGTAAGGCAAATGCGTGCTGAGCATTGAAATTATAAAATTCTATAATAATTATGTCTAACTTATACATGTGTACACACACACACACACATGTATATACATATATTCATTACATCATTTCTAATTTGAGTTTTAACTTGGTTATTGGTCAAAAGGTTATATTTTCTATTGTAAGATTTTGACATGCCACATAAGATGATTTGTTTCTGACAAGTATAATCTTGTAAGACCCAGCCTTTGGTGTAAAGGTTATAATGACAATGTAAAAGATATATTATTTAAGATTTACAGATTAAAAAAGTTTAAAGCAATATGAGACAGTTGTTATCAGCTGAAGTGACACAGCTGTGCTTTCGAGAAAATAATGTTGAGTTTGGTGTGGATATATTTATGTCGTATATTGTGATTTTCACATTATGTTGATGCATGTTGTAGCTTCTGATATGCTTTTTGTCCAGTGCACTTATGGTTGCCTCTAGAACTGTATGCAGTAGACATATATGTTTTTATTTTATTTTTTAAGTACTCAAAAACTTTTTGTTCCGTGTTTTACTAAATTTAAAAGAAATTTTATGATAAGATTTGCATGAGTTTTTTGTTTAATTTCTGCATGGTTAATTTGTATGACCTAACTGATTGGGAAAATAGTTCTAACAAATTTAAACAATTACATTGTTTGTGACCATCATCGCATACTGTTTGTCATTCTCTAATCAACCACATACAAGTTAGTCACTTTCTTTATCTTTCATCTATCTATTCAAATAAACTAATATATCATCACTTAGCCACCTACCCAATCAAAAACTCATTTCTCATCTTAAAGACTGAATCTGTTACCTATGTCTCTAAGCATTTATTCTCTAGTTTGGCTTTTTATGGAGCCATTAAACAGTTTTTCTACTGCTCACCAACTTTCATACTTCACTATATAATCATTTACTCCTTGGTCTGTCTTTTAATGAAGATACTCATTGATCAGTTTTTCTACTATTCACCAGTTTTCAAATGTAACTATACAACCATCTACTCTTTGATTTGTCTGTTTATGGAGCTACTCATTGTTTAGTTTCTACAACTATATACCAGCTTTCTGACTAATTTGTCTAATCATTTATCCATTGATATATTTATCAATGTATTTTCTTTTTACAGCTCATTGCCCACTAGTAAATGTTATTATCTGTTTATATTGTTTGAAGCATCAAGACTAGTTTGTTTCTTCGTGAGCGAGACAAGCTGCTATTTCATTACTTTGCTTTCTTTTTATTGTACATCACTGCTGAGATTTGGATAGCATGCCAGATAATCTTTGTATTGAAATTGTTTTTCTCTGAAAATAAAAGATAAAATTTGCCTGAGAAAGAACATTTAACTAGACATTAATTTTCAGTTTGGAATTGTTGTTTTTTTGTCACTCTGTCACAAATATCTTTATCATAAGGTTATTGTAATATATGAGACAAAGTATTACATAACTATAGTATATAGAAAAATGTTTATGTGACCTCTGTTTTTGCATTTTGTGATACTTATATAAAAATTATCGAATTAACAAAATAAAGAGGCTTCATTTTCGTTTTCAAATGATCTTAAGTAAATGACTGTAGGATTATTAGTTTTTAACTGATGTAATAAAAATGTAAATAAGATTTGTTTCGGATGTCAAAACAAATCTAAAGAATCCCTGTTAGCAGTATAACTGTTTACTGAGTATAACTGTTTACTAAAAGAAAATCAGTTTATATTTGCTTTCATGTGTAACTCAAAGTTAATTCATTGTTACATTACCTGATCTTGATATTGCTGTTAAAAGTAAGCTAGTGGATTATATTCTACTACCAAAGTGCAAAATGGTGTTTAACTATTATATTATTATTGCTGAAATATGATTGTTAAGATAAGATTTGTCTCTATAAGTCTTGTATATGTAGTTTTGTAAATTAGAAAATCTGATCTTTTTTCTATAATATAATTTCCTGCTTTGAGTGTCATTTACAGGTTAAAATTTTCACCAACTAAAGCAATACATTTTACAAGTTTAATGTAAAAATGTACTGTTAAGACTCTTTATCCCCATTTTATGGCATATGAGGTTTAAATTGTTGCTAATTAAAGCATTTTTTGTACAAACTAATGATTCTACCTAATCTGAGTGAGGGAACTACAGATCTGACTCTAACAAACATCAGGAAATGAGAGTTAAAACTATACATTTAATTCAGATCAACAAATTCATCCGTGTTTGTTTGCTAGTTATTTGTATATGAGTGTCTATGTGGAAAGAATATTATTGGGTTAGTTTAATAAGGAAAGGATTTTATGTTTACCATGTACCTTTGAAAGTGCAACTCTAAAAGTAGTTTTTATGAGAAACACTTAAGCATTTAAAATTTTTTTTATCATGTGCTTGTTTTGAAATACTCATATATTAACACATTTTCATTTGTATATATAACTGATAACATATTCACTTTTAAATTATATGTTTAACATAACCTTGGAAAGTACTTGAGCTTTATGTTGTTTAATCTTCCAAAAGGTCAATGGTGATGGAGATTGGGAATATGAAGAGATTTCTCTTGAAAGGGTAAGTGCAAAGTTTGAAATGTGAATTTTTCCATGATGATTACTACTTTTTAAGCTTCTGTGTACTATAATGTAAAAAAGGGGCTATTTTTGTGATAAGTATTCTGTTTGTAAAAACATTTCTATTCACAAGAACCATTGGTTGAAAATATTTTATGTTCTCGGGTATAATCCAATCAATATTCACTATTGTTTAAAAGCAGTGTAAATAACCAGATGTTAAAGTATGTGTTGTTACAATTTATAATTGTCTTATGGCTGTAATTAATAAGAAAATTAAGCTAAGAAATTTAGTCCATTTGTCACAAAAATGTAATATTTGAACATAAAAAAATCCATGCACTTATTCATAAAACTTATCTTTACTTTTGTACAAGATGAAATATTTTACCAAAAAATCAATGTATTTGTGTTGGCTCACTTAAAATTTAGAGGTTTTTCATATGAATATATTGCATGTTGATGAATGTCTAACAGTACAGAGGGTTGAGTACATTATATTAAAATTATTTACAACATGCAAATCAGTTAGTCATGTGACAACCACAGCCAATAAAAAGTCTCAGTGGAATGGTATGTGTGCGTGTGTGTATATATACCAGAACTAATTGTTGAAATTATTTGGCAATTCATAAGAAGTGCATTGCCACCAAAAACTGACCACTTTAGTTTCTGAAACTAAATATTCATACACTTGGATCATAAAAATGTGTTCAAATTGGGGTTTTAGAATTTCCAACCTGTGGATATCTCTTGTTCTTAATGACATTAAAAAAAATGAGTATGGATCAACTTGAAGAATCAGGACCATTCAGAAAGAGACGTACAATAATTTATACCCCCAACTGTGGTTAGTAAAGTGTTCCATTTTGTATCACTTAAGAAACCATGAACATCAAGGACAGTAACAAAAGCCATCCACTAGTCTCTGACAATATCATGCAGCATAATCAAGAAGGATCTTCATCTGGAAACAAATGCCAGTAGGGTATGAGTTCACCAAGATAAGGCTTCCAGCATATTTTCTGTTCACCATTACATACTGCAAGTTGCTGGAAGCAGCACATATAGGTTTCTGTGCAATCAAACAGTTGAAACTGGTGATGGAAAACTGTTACTCTCATGCACTGATGGATTATAGAAAGTATGCAGGGAACTGTGGGACACTTTGGACATGACAGGCTTACAATGGGTCTTTTTTGCAGTAGAAACTTTGCTACAGGAGTATTGTCAAGATGTGTGGTTATCAGATAAAAATATGACCAAATGTGATCACATGTACTGTAACAAGATGGTGAGGCTCCAAAAGTGTTTTAATACAACATATTCAACCTTTTTATTCATTAAGCCATTACCAAGAACTAATAAAAGAAGATAGCTTTAACATAAAGTAATGATCAAATCTTTATCAAACATTTTAAAAATGTAATCCATTCCAAAAGAATATAGTAGTATGTCCCAAATGGATTTCAGTTTGTCATTGTAAACTGTTTTTTTTTTGTGAGTTTAATTATTCCAGTAAATGAATGTGTAAGATAATTTTTGATGGAGTGGCATATAATGTAGTAGAATATGTTAACATAATTACAGATAAGTACATGTGAAGCCTAAAGAAGCAAATTTACAATGTTTTTACACAACATTTAGAAATAAAACTTGGAAGTTGTAATGGTATTTAGTCTTTGATTTATTATGTATATCCTAAAGCTGACATAAAACTATATTGCAATCTGAACCTCCCTAGATAATAGATATGACTTCATGTTTCAGTACTGCATCCTTCATCTTAATAACAAGCAGTAATAGCCAAGGTACTACGTAGCATCATTCACCTTAATAACAAGTAGTTACACCCAAGGCACAATATTGCATCATTCACATTAATAACAAGTATTAATGCATAAGGTACAACCTTGCATTCTCCATTTTAATAACAAGTAGTAATATAGTGGGTACAATATTCCATCTTTCACCTTAATAATGAGAAATAATACACAAGATACTGGACCACTCTTTTATCATAACGTGGTAATAGTACAGAAGATACTGTATTTCTTATTTCTTCTTACTATTATGCATGAGAACACACATTTTTTGTACTGTTTTTCTCATTATTTTTAAGTAACATAAATCATGATAAAATATATAAATATTCACCATGCTAAATTGAATTAAACCATTTTACAACTTAAATTTTTGAGACAAGAGAGGATTAATCAAGTAATAGTAAGTTTTATTTTTCTGATAATTTAACCACTTTTATTTGTTTTGTGCTGAATTGATATATACTTACATAACTTTAAATAAGTGAAAGAAATTATACGTAGTTATAAAAATATATATTTATATTTTTTTTACTTTGTCTGGCAGTGTGGAACAGGTCTAGGGTTTAGTATAGCAGGTGGTACAGACAATCCTCACATTAATGATGATCCAAGCATTTATGTCACTAAACTTATTCCTGGAGGAGGAGCAGCTGCTGATGGTAGATTGAAGTATGTTATTAATAGTTGCAACATATATTTAACTTGTCAAAAACTCATTCATTCTTAAACATGAAATTAAAAAATATTTTAATAAGAAAATAAAAGTTTATCACTGTCATATTTTGAATCCAGTTTCTTATTGGAACAACTTTATGAACCTCATCTGGATTCATCATCATTAAGTCTAATGACAACTCTTGAAAAATATTTTAAGTTAGATCCCATTAAAAAAATACTTTGTGTAAAATATTAAGTTAATGAAAATTAATCTTTTACTAAAGCACTTTTTAGCCATTATTTAATTAACAGCCATATTAAAAAAGGATGGGTCTTCAAGATAATGAAAATTTTTTATATTTCTGTATAAGCTTTTTTTAGCTTTAATTTTCAGATAGTTTGATTTTTATAGGTAGTAGCTTTGAAATTACTACAAAGATGGAAACTTTTACAAATCATCATTTTGAAAGTTTAAGAATTTTTAATTAATATTCTTTAATATTGAAAAATAATTATAGTTAAAGTTAATATAAGTAAACACCTGTGTTACATTACCACCAGATGACCTTTATTTATTTTTCCTCAGGGTAAATGACATTATAATCAAAGTAAATGACACTGAGTTACTTCATGTTCCTCATTCTGCAGCCGTAGAAGCTCTGAAACGTGCAGGAAACTCTGTACATTTGGTAAGGAAGGTTATTTTAATGTATTGTTCTATATTTTTTCATATTCACACATATTCCACTTGCTTTATTTTCACTCTTTCAAAAGATTGAATTAAAAATTAGAATTTTGATCTGTAGGTAAACACGTTTTGTATAGCCTATATCTAAATATGACATCTATAAGAACTAGGCTACTCTAAAAGCTAGGGCTCATTTTTCTTTTGTTTATTTAGTTATTTTTTTGTTTTTAACCTTTTATTTAGTTTACTTTCTATAGTACTTTGTATTATATATTATCAACTTTTATGTAGGTGTATGGTTCTTGTACATTCACTGATTGCCCCCTAGTGACACAGTGGCAAGCCTAAAAACCAGGTTTCATTACCCGTGGTGGGCACAGTAAACATAGCCCTTTCTGTAACTTTGAGCTTAACCCAAACCAAATGAACTTTCATTGATTAATGTACTGAATTCTCTCTTGTTTTTTGTATTGTGAAAACCTAATTCACAGTAAGTGTTATTAGTAGTGGGATGATTTCTTATGAAGAAGTTAGTATTGAATAACAGTATTTAATGTGTAAAGGTAGAATATCAATATATAATGCATAAAATATAATCATGTTTTTTAAAGTTATTACAGTTATTTTAAAAGTCACAGAACTTCAAGCTGTCAGTATGGAGCCCTATCAGAAGCAGTTAAAAATATTTAGGTTCTACATTCTATTTTTATTCAATAAATTTGTGCAGTACTTGTAAGATATTTTTGTTTGCCAATCCTTTGGTTTGTTTTTTAAAGCTTGTAGAAAAACCTTTGTATTTGCAGAAATTCTAGTCATAAATCAACTGTAATAAAAGCATGACTTACAATTGAAAGGCATTGTTAATGGACTGCATATGTCTAAGAAGTTTTGAACAATGTTTTGAGCTACTAGCACAGATCTTCATCGGGTCTCTTGAGGATCTCGTCAAGCATCTTGAAACGTCATTCAAAACTAAGACAGAGGCAGTCCATTGGAAATGCCTTTCAAGTACATTCTCCTCTGTCTAAGCCTTCTTTCAAGCAAGAGATGTTCTACACTTATTTTTTCTCATTCAAAAGTAAAGCAGTGTATCTTTTAGTAGTATCTTGGCACTAAGTAAATTCCTAAAAAAATGCAATTGAACAGATTTATTATTGAACTGCTGCTTTTTTCAGGTTAAATCTACTATATATATATTTATATACATATTAACCTATTTCTATGCCTTAAAGCTTAATATAAATATTTATTTGTTTATTCATGTTTTTAAAGATTAGCTAAACCATGAAAGCTTTTTATTATTGGTGCAATTTACTTACCAATAGACTAAAAAAAAAGCTCTATAGATTGATTTTTAGTTAGCAGAAGACACTAAGCTTAGATGTAGCATTTGTAGTTTTGTTTAATTGTTCAAGAGTAATGTAAATATAAAGTACTTCAAGCTAAATAACACTCAGATTGTAATCACTTTGTGCTAACAGTGTCTCAGATGTATAACAAGTTAAACATTTTCCTATTTGTTTTCTCAAGTTTGTGAAGCGTAGAGTACTTCACCACCGACATGTTATGGAAGTGGAGCTGGTAAAAGGAAACAAGGGACTAGGATTCAGCATAGCAGGGGGTATAGGAAACCAGCATATCCCAGGTGATAATGGTATTTACATCACTAAAGTCATGGAGGGAGGAGCAGCATATTCTGAAGGGAATATCCATGTAGGGGACAAATTGGTAGCTGTAAGTAATCTCATTCCAACAAAGAATTTATTATGTTCATATACATTTTACTTGTAATAGAAACTCAAGCTTTTTATTTTATCTTTATAGTATTCATACCACTATGTCTGCACTGGTTTTGGTAAACTGTATGGAAATTTAATATTTCTTTGTGTTACTTGGAACAGACCTGTTAGTGCCTGGTTAACTTTTAACTCAAATAGTTAAAGTAATTTTTAATAAAATATACTCAATTTAATCAATAAAATGAGAAATGATTGAGCACATGTTAAAACCTTGTGTTATTTTGATGCCAAGACCAAAACTGTTATATGGCCTTCAATAAAACTGTCTGCATATATAAAAAAAAGGGGGGATAACTTGCTTGTAATAAAATCATTATTCCCATACATACATACCTCCTCTCCCACTTATAGCTATTACTCGACTGCCAGGGTTTCTTCCTTTGCCCATTTACGCATTGGTCTGATTTTTTTCTCACTCGCTCCAGTCTTTTATACCTCACTTAATTGTCCTTGGCAGTATTTGTTTTATGACACTCTCCACCTTGGTCGATACGCCCTCTATCCTGGTACTGTATAAAAGCACGTCATACAAATGATGTTATCACGTTTTCTCGACAAAGCATCACCAACGGGTTTCCCAATATTACAGATTGTTAGGAGATACTTTGACCATTATCAGTGTTTTCTATTTGATTTTCTTAATAGTAATTTATAATAAATATAAAATATATTTGTTTTTAATTCCGATTATAAAGAAAAGCAGAAGGATGCTACATTTATAGTATGTGTTGCCACTGTTAAAATAGATTTGTTTTTTCAGTTTCTAACTGTTGTTACAGACAGTTTATTGTCACTATAAGTTTTTTGTGATACTTAACTGTTGTGTATGCTTTTTTCTTTGTGATACTGAAGGTTGGTGAGAAGAATCTGGAAAATGTCACTCATGAAGAAGCTGTTGCTACACTGAAGGCAACAACAGACAGAGTTGTACTTACAATAGCCAAATCAAGACCTTCAGTTTTCATCAACCACACTATACCTGCATCAGCTTCTCAGTCTCTTCAGGAACAAACTCCAGGCACAATTACTCCACCTTCCTGTAAGTAGAAAGTGATTATCTTAAAAACTTGCATGGATTCATTTTTATGCATTGTGTCTTATGATTTTTTTTATGTGTAAGATTTTTAAAAATGTTATCCGATGTTGTATTTTCCATTTCCTTACATATCTTTTGTAGTGTTGTAATCACTTTTGGATGATGGTTTTATTTTCCAGCAAATGTTTCAATCACAGAATACCATCAAGAGCCTCCTCCTAGTACCTGCCCTTCTAAAGTGTTAACTGATGAAAACATCACCAGGTAACCAAATAAACTGTATCTTATTTTCATTTATGAAATATTTTGTCTTTAAATAAATTTGTTATTACTTGCTGTAGAATATTAGTTTTATATATTTAGTAAAAAGTAAAGAAATTAAAAATCACCTTGTAATTATTCTTATCACTCCAAATTATCACTTTGAGTTTTAATACTTTCAAACCCAATCAAAGAGTGGCCCTTGGTGAATCTCATGAGAGGAAAGTCATGAAATTCACCAAGCATTTGTTAAACAAAAATAATTAATTGTGTGTTTTGTGTGTGTTAAAAGATGGTTATTTATTTCTAGAGTATATACAATTAAAAATGTGGTGAATACATAAATATTATTTTATTAAACCAAAATTAGAATTATTAAAGAACATTGGGAGTATACCAAATATCCAGTTTAACCTCAACTTCGCTGGCTTCACATGCTTAGAAGGGAAAGGAGAAGATGGTGCTATAGCCCACAACATCCCATATCTTTACCACCTTTTGCTGTGTGCAGCCAGAAAAGAAATAAGTAAAAACCTTAAAAATAGTAAGAAAGATAATAACTAGAACTAGTCACAACCTGCAAAACATAAGTAGTAGTTTCATGCCCTTTGCTTGAATTTTCCTTATTATATCATTTTTCACACATACCATTTAAGCTACACTCTCTTACAGACATTATGTGTTAGATTCATAAATACTGGTCTATTTGAAGAAATAATAAGTAAATAAATAAACAAAAAATATACTTTGTGAGCAACCAACTTCCCACTTCTGGCTGCAGACAGCGAAAGGTGATAAAGATGTGGGACATTATGGGCTAGAACACCCACATCTGCTCCTTTTACTATTCCTTCTAAGCATGTGAGGCTTGCAAAATTGAGGTTAAACTGGATAGATAGTATACCCCAATGCAAATTGGGTCTTATTTCTGCCAGTACTTTAAGAAACCGAGGCACATTACATAATGACCCACCATATGATTTGTGCTCTGGTGTTGTATATTTGTTTTATGGCTACGTGTTTATTATGTTTTCAAGTATGTTTTTTGTTTACTTATTTATTTATTTTTTCTTTTCCTTCTCAATAATTTTAAATTTAATTATATTTCACACACACATTCACAATGCCATGAATGTTTCAGAACTTAGAAAATCTTTATTTAATGTACTTATGACATCTGTTATGCATATTAATTTTTTGATATTGTATATTACATTTGGTAATACATTTATAATGAATTGATTGTACTTTGCAATTTGTATTTATACTAGTAGGCTTTATTCTGCTGTTTTATGCTTTACCTATCACATATTTAGATTAAGTGTAAAACATTGTTTTATATATTCATAGAAATGAACACAAACAATAGTGGAAAAACCAGTTAACCAGAAAATATATGTCTGATGGGTACTTGTTGAACAAAATGAGATTGAAGCATTATGTATAAGTCTTAGTGGATATAAGAAGCCATTTGTATATGTAGGTCCATTAATGATGGAATTTATCTCATAACATGTAATTGATTATCCTTTTTGTTTTCGTCAGTGAGTTATCGTTTTTGATTAGAGCTTTAAGGTTCAGACTACTTTAGTTTTCTAAAAAGTACTGTATATTTAATGAAAAATCATTAAATTCCATAATATAATGTCTTTTTTTACCAATGCTGTTCTGTGTCTCTTGTTTCTTTTAAGAGTGCTTGAAGTGTCCTTTTAAATAAAAAAATCCTGATGTCTCTGAATAAGTCAACTTAAAGTATGTTTATTTTGCTATGGAGTAAAATCCTAATTGTATTTTTTAAAATATGAGTATCACTGTTAAATACTTTTTTCACAATTCATTAAGACACTGAATTTTTATATCTAAATGTCAAAATAGTTGTCATCCTGTATTCTAGCAATTTCTTTTTTGCTCTCACTTCGAGATTTCATTTGTTCATGCAAAATATAAATTTGTAAATTTTAACAACCATTTGAAGGAATTAATCATTTTAGCACCAAAAACAATACAGACTGTTTATGTAATCATTTAAGTGATACAAAAGGTGTTATCGTGTAATATTCAAATTCATCCATTCCTAAGACTGTCTAATTCATCTTTATTTTTACACTCAATTATTAATTATATTATCCTGAAATGATGTTTTCATCTTACAAATGCTTCTGTTTTCAGAAGGTATAACTAACATGAAAGGGACTTTCTATTGCAAGTATGTAGGTGGAAAAGAATGTAGATGAACAAGATATTATAGCAACATCAGAATTTTTATGAACTAGATACAGTATGAAGCATACACATTTTATATGTGTGTGTATTTATATTTATCTTGGAAAACCTTTCTTAACATACTTATGACATCAGTTTTTAAAAAAATATGAGTTGTCTACATAGAGTTGTGAATGACAAGTATAAACGTTTGATCCCTCATTATCTGAATTCACGTTATATGTCTTACTATCTTCTTGCCTGGTTTGATAGCCTGATTTTACCAATCTTCGTTTGCTACTTACAATACTGTTTCCCTAGTAATGGCAGCTCCCTGTCTGATCTGATGTTCTGATTTCACCATTCCTTTATTATTTGTTCAGAAATTATAACTTAGTTGAACTAAAACTGCCCCACAATGTCAAAAGATTAATGTAATGCTGTCTACCCATGGTAGATAGTTCATTATGTAGCTTTTTACTGAAAAGACCCAACAACAACCATTTTTTAATAAAGTTTTATTATGCAAAATTGTGGTGTACTTTTAGTTTTTAATTAAATTATGCACAAGTGCCATTTAATCTTCATTATGGTAACCCAGTTCACCCATTTTATAGCTTTTCTCTGTCTTACCTCATAGCCTAATTTTGGTCACCTTTTATTCTTACACATGGTATAGTCCTTGTGTCTCATGTGATAACAAATATTGTCTTCATGTCTCAACCAGATATTGTCTTATATGATAATCAGATATTGTCTTCATGTCTCATGTGATAACCAGATATTGTCTTATATGATAATCAGATATTGTCTTTTTGTTTCATGTGATAACCAGATATTATCTACTTGTTTTATATGATAACTAGATATTGTTTTCTTGTTTCATGCAATAACCACATTTCCACCATTTTTGGTGACTTGTCGCAGCAGTGGATCCACCTTGTTTGATAACTTAATTTTGTTCGTTTTTATGACAGCTTCTAATGACACTGTATCCCTATTCGTTTTGGTAGTGGTTTTGCTCATCATTGGTTATTGCTCTTAACACTTTCTCCACAAACTTATCTGATTGGGTAACTTGACTAGTTTTTGTTATCTACTCCTGGAAGGCTTCCTTAAAGAATCAACAGTTCAAATTTGTCCATATTTATCATCTACCTGTTTAGTCTTTGTTTTGTTGCTCATAATGTTGCTTTCCCACCTGATCTGATTGCTTGATTATATCAGTTTTTGGCATGGCAAATTTTAACAATAATGACTCTTTGTCAAATATTTCCTGTTGTTGTCAGCTTCCTGAATTAGGGTCTCATTTTGTGATGTGATAGATTTGACCCATGTTGATGATTTCTTAATTTATTCTATGTGTACTCTGTTTTGGGTAAATTAACTACATTTAAAATTGTTTACAATCCTGATGTGATAGATTTGACCCATGTTGATGATTTATTCTGGGTTTCATTATGAGTGCTCTGTTTTGGGCAAATTAATTACATATAAAAGATTTTTCAAAGCATTAACGATATGTATTGTACTACACTTAGTGCTTTTTTCAATTTCCAGCTGAATAAATAATATACAGTCTTATGAACAAATATTTAATCGTTAACTATCTAAAAAGGTAATGTCAGGGTTTCAAGTATGTAGGTTGGGATTCTTCTACAGTAGGTGTCTGTGACTTGTTGGTGATAAATTTCAACAATAAGCAGACATCACACAATCCACTTGTTTTAAAATAATATATATATGATCAAAACAAATCAAACGTATGCACAAAAATTCTTTACACTATATCACAATCGTATCTAAAACTCTAAATAATCCTTTTTTCTTGTCAAAAGTCCATTAAGGCTGATTCAATTACTTTAGAATCCAATTGACAAGACAAATTATTTTTCTCTACTTTGTTTCTTATTGTACAATCTGTGATAACTTCACTCCATGGGTTACCACAGTTGTATATCAAACTTTAAATAATTGTTTCCTTTTCGTCAAAGTCCACATAGACGGGTTCAATTATTTAAAGCACCCTTTGACAAGACAAATTATTCTCCTTATTTCTATTAAACTGTGAAACTCACTTTAAAATATTACCCGTTATGGCTAATCAGTCATACGCTAACTTCGCGTTTTCTGACTGAACTTTACTTCGCTTCACTTTTTCTCTACTTGACTTGCGCTCGATTGGTCCCCTATATTTCTATTTTGTTCACTGAGGCCTCGAACTTTCTATAAACTACGCAAGCGACGCTATAACGTAACAATACTTACTTAAGGTAACGAGAACAATACCAAATATTCGAGTAACTTGGCGTCAACAATATTAAAACAGCTGAACCACACACACAACGCAAGACGCTTACGGAGTTACACAACGAAACTTGCCACAACCATCGCCTTCAAAATAACTACCTTCAATTCTCCTGCTATGAAAAGTAAACAATCATTAAATATTAAATCACCAAATAAACTAAATAACAACTAGTAAACTAAACAGTCTTGTATATCCAACAGTTAATAATTTTTATTATTTAGTGTCATCAATTTGAAACTCCCCCTTTTTTGTTTGCTCAGACCAAGTTGTATAAAAACGTTTTAAAGTTTTGTAACAGAAAAAACAACAACATAAAACCTGCCCTCACCTTTCTTACTGGACTTAATCTTAAATCGTAAGTGTTGTTGAATGTTGAAATGTGTTGGTAACTGACTAACTGGTCATTTTATGAATACATGTGTATCTCATTATACGGGCCCGGCATGGCCAGGTGGTTAAAGCACTCGACTCGCAATCTGAGGGTCGTGGG